CTACAAAAGATGCCCGCGTGTTGGACGCCGCGAGGCGAGGCCCGAGGCCGGCTGCGCCCCGTCCCACGCAGCCACGGAATCCCCCGCGGGTGGGGGGTGGCCCGTGGTCACGGCCGCGGCCCGTCCTTCTCTCCGAGCACCGGTGTTAGCCGGGACAGCTGGTCTGGCGCAAAAGCAGCAGCTCTGCTCCCGAGGCAAAGGGAGACAGAAACTGCCTTTAAACCGGCGGTCACGAAGCCCATTACACGCGGTTCAGGTGCGGGCCGTTGTCCGGAGCTTTTTTGTGCCCCACCGGTGCTCGAGGTCTCATTTTACCACAAATTGTGCATCACTTTTCCACTAGTAATCTCAAATCAGAAAAGTGAACCAAAACTGGCAGGAAAAAGCAAAATAAAGTCAAAGTCCACAGCAGCACCATGCTGCAAATGGCTTTTTTTCTTCCAGCCTCAGAAGCTCCCCAATGGCACCACATCGGGACTAACAACACTAATATTAGGAATAGATAATACAACCTTTCAAAAGATCCAGCATAGCACTAGCTTTAATTAATCAAGCACTCAAGCACAAGCAAATTAAACAAATTATTGCATCCAGCTAAACATTTTTAAGCTACATCAAGTTTTCAGTTATAATCTCTCTGTTCCATAAATAATTCAGCAATCTACAAAACATTAGACTTAACTCGCTAATGTTGCAAACCACACGAAATTTTAAACCAATAAATACATACAGAAAAATAAGCTTGCCAATTTTTGAGCCACTAGGCTGCATGTTTCCAGGATCCCTTTGCAACCACAAGAACTGCACGTTTCCTTTGCAGTGAAAGCTGAGGGTCTCCTGGAATTACGTGGCTCTGAGTACTAAGTATCACGAGATGAGTTTAACCACCTGGGATTTTTTTTCCCCTCTGTTCTTCAAGTGATACCTCCTAGGCTCTTGGCCACCAGATGAATATTTAGTAACAAAGGCTGAGTTTTGTCACACACTCAGGTAAGACTCACAAGGAGCAGCTAAACGTGAGCAAAACCGGCAAGCAGCAGCACCTTCGTCACCAGACCCACCGGGCACAGGAGGCTTCTCCTTCCACCCAGGCACGCAGCGCCCTTAGCCGATGCTCAGGGATGAGAAGATTAACGGCACGCGGGGCTGGGGCTGCTGCCCTACATACGCCAGCACGTTCTCACATCCACGTCTGCCAGGGCTCTACCTAACGCATTAGGGATCACGCCAGAACACGGAGAAACCCGTTTCGTAGAAAGAACGGCCACCTGAACGCGTGACTGTGACTGACGGAGGGGTTTCGGGTGACCGCTGGCCTGGCCGGGACACGCGGCAACGCTGCCAGACCGAGCGCTGCGAAGCGAGGCCGGCGTCCCCAGGGAAGCGGCCGCTCACGCCACCCGCACCCTGAAGCGGGTGGGCGAGGGCCCGCGGCGCTGCCGAGCGCAGGCGACGCAGCCAGGGCCGCCCCCGCAGCACCGGCGCTACCGGCGACACCTCCGCTCGGGGACGTTCGGGTTCCCAGTGCGGCTGGCGACCACCGGAACGAGGTGGAGGCCGAGGA